CCCAGACTCATCCTCTTGTTCCTCCCACGCTCTTCTGGGGAGCTAAGAAAATGTTTATCTCCCTGAGCCTGGCCTTCATAATTCCATTCCATCACACACAAGATTTTGGAGTCTTTTTTTGCAGGTTGTTAGTTTACAAAAAAGTCATCCAGAGCATCTGGAAATGTTTGTATTATGGGACTACCATCATGCTGTGCTTGCACCTATAGAACAGGCAATTGATTGAAGATGTGTCATCAAGTCATTTTTATTCCTGGCAACCACATAGACAATGACAATCTATCCCTAACCTGTTCTTTCAAGTCTCCCAACGGTATACTCATCAGCACTGTAACTAAGTCCATCCACCTTGCTGCTGGTTGTTCTCTTCTTCTCTTTCCTTCCATAGAAGCAGCAAGACAGTGTAGAAAACATGGCCAAGTGTTTATATTGTACATTCAACACACAAGTCCTTGTTTTACTCTTTATTTGTCCTGTCTCTAAGTAGAATGCTTCATATGGAACACAACACAGCACTTGGATCCTTTCCTTGAAAATGTGATCTGAATTGTTTCTCACAGAGGTGCCTCACTTCTTAAACCTAATTCCATACCAGAGAGGAACAGCGCTAAGGGTTTAACCACAACAAGGTTGATGACAACTGGACTATAAATGCTTTAGCCAATGGCAGTACTTGGGCTGGACTTGACTGGGCTCTGAGGCAGAGGTAGATGTGGTTGAGTACTTGGATGGGAAATCCCTTCATTGTAGGATGGACTGGGAAATTGAGAAATATCCTTGAAGGCTATAGTAAGCCACTTCTCTACTGTTGCCAAGAAAACTGCATGGTTGTGTTCATGTAATTGCCAAGAGTCAAGCACAACTCAAGAGCACCTTCAACTTTATCTTTAAATGGACAATACCTTCATCTTATTTTAACTTCCACTCTGCCTGACACAGCTGGTTCTCTATCAAGTTTTCTTTGCAATTTTAAAACTTCAGAATTAATGATGCAGCATGACTATGATTGTAAAGAAGGGAAGTCAAATTCAGTCAATTTTCTTGGACTTATGAACACATGCCCAGTTCTGAAGAACTTTTAGAACTGCAGCACCTAAAAGTTAAAAATGGGGGGGGGGACTTTCATTGTTAAAAAAGAGGGAAGCAAAGCCAATGCAACTTTTCCCTTTAAAGTGTTCACTTCTCAAGCCATTCAAGTACAGCCTACGCTGACAGAGTGAACAAGGTAGATTTAGGGTGGTGTTTAATTCCATTCCAGGCTTTGAATGATGGAAAGACATCTTACATATCCTTCTCAACCCTATTCCACTTGTTTCCAGAGGTTTGAACATCTAACACTGGATACCTTGTACAGGAAAATGTGTGCTGCCTTTCACTCTTGTCTTCCAGAAGCTGACAGCACAGACTCTGCACGTAGCTGGAAGGGTGTGGACAATGCCATGTAAAGAGGCAAAATGACTCTTCCAAGAAAGAAGTGAATGAATCTTCAGTCTGTCAGTGCAGCAGTTGCTCAGCTACTCTGAGCAATATATAATCTTGAAGGGCAGTTTTGTCGAGGGAATTGTTGGTGAGTAATTAAATGAAAGTACTGGAAATATGAAGTTGTGATGCTAAGAATATCACCAAGGAAACATTTATCCTTCCATATTTCCAGTCAAAATATAATATCTGAGTAATTGGCCCTGAAAGTCCTGTGTTAGTAGTGCAGGATATGCCATATCAAACTCAGAAAGCATACCTACTTAGACACCTCAGTTCTGCTGCTGAATCTAATCAGGTTTGAGGTCTGTAAGTTTTCTAGATGCCACTTGAAGTCCTTTGTACACAGGGGCTGTGCTTGTACAACACACTTAAGCCATGGCTTGCTTAATTATGGTTTATTGAATAAACTACAATTGGCTGGGTTCACAGAACATGTAAAGCCATGATTTTCTTAATAATGGTTTATTATGTCCTGCGTTAACTCAATATGCTAATTCAAAACAAAGCACAGTGGCCACTCCCATAGGGCCTAGCATGTTTCATGAAACCAGTCAGGAAGTTGGTTTATATCAAGTCAGATTATTTGTCCACTTAGTACAGTATTATCTAGTATAACTGGAGCAACTGTGCAAGATCTTGGGCATAGATCCTTCACATCTGAAATCTGGAGAGGAACAAAAGAACAATCTTGCTGGATCAGGGCAAGACCCATCTTAGATCTACCATTTTATTTTTCATGGTGGCCAACCAAATCCTTCTTAGACACTTGTAAGCAGGAGAGAGATGTACCCTTTTCCAATCATCATTGGCCTGGAAATTTGAAGGCAAGTCACCTCCAACCAAGAAGTAACACATTTTTTTAAACCAATCCAATGAATCCAATCCACTTTTGACATCATGTATTTTTTAAAGAATAATTTTATTAAAGGTTTTGAATAAAAAAATAATACAATTTTTTTCTCCTCCTCTTAGCTAATAAATATAAAACTCTTCATCCCATAACCCATTTCTTAACAATAGGCAAATCACCTAAGTAATGTCTTCTTCAATCCAGTTACCAGCAAAAGATCCAAACAAAGCTCTAAGATTTTAACATTTAACAATAGGCAAATCACCTAAGTAATGTCTTCTTCAATCCAGTTACCAGCAAAAGATCCAAACAAAGCTCTAAGATTTTAACATTTAACAATAGGCAAATCACCTAAGTAATGTCTTCTTCAATCCAGTTACCAGCAAAAGATCCAAACAAAGCTCTAAGATTTTAACATTACTTAACATATATAAAATTCAACATCCCAACACTTAACTAAACAAAATCCCATTTAAAGGACATGAAATGGTCCAAATATCCTAATATAAACAAAATGAAATAACCCAAGTTTAACATGACAAAAAAAGAACATTTCTCCTCTACAAAAGACAAGCTCCAATACACAACATTCCAAATAACAACTTATCCTGTTCAATATCTCCACTCAAAACTATAAGCACATCCACATTTCATAAATACAAAATAATCCCAGTAATCCTAATATAAAT